AGTGAAATTCTTATAAATCACGATGCAGAAGCAATAATATTTTAATCACGAACACAAGATCTATATATATATATATGTTACTTCTCCAAGTAATTCCAACAGAAAAAAGTAGAAAATCTTTAGTTTCCAGCCCACTATATGTAGTTTCCGAGTCTAATTAACCTTAAAACTTTCATCTTTTCCTTCTATTGAAATGTCTACTCCTTTGATATATTGCCTTTAACCATATATACAACGTGAGTGAAGAGAAATAATATTCAGGCGAGGGACTTGAAGAATTATAAGACCACGCAACTGATTTTTCAATTTGTTCGGTGAAGAATATTGACATTGCAGTCTCAATCATGGAATTTTAAATGCAAATTCTTCAAACACGTACGTGCTTATTTATATTTTATGTCTTCGGAAAGACCGCTCCAAACAAGACAAACATCCTGACTACGCATGCATGTGTATTTTCATGCTAAGTTGAAAGAGTTTTCGACCAAAGCTTGCCCTTTAATTACTGAACCTGGAATTCAAGGAAAGGACAAATGCTTCATCTCCCCAGAAGTTCAAATACGTCGGCCACTTTTGAGAATTGAAAGACACAGAATGCAGAAATATAGGCTAAATGTTTCAAGAATCCTGATCTCAGTACTCCATGTTCATCGGGTCATAACTTTCCATGTAGTACATAATCTCCTTTTTCTTTTCTTTTTGAACAACAATGTCCTATACAATTCAAAAAGAGAAAAAGAAAGAAAAGAATTTCTTTGTATTCCTTTGGAGGGCCATATGCAGTGAAAATGGCATTAAAGTCAAGCAGCCTCCTTACGTGTCTCTTTTTCGAAAGAATATTTAGTTGACAAATGTATGTAACGTTCCAGGATTAAGTTAATCAAGGCCCACTGTCACTCGAGCTGCCACTGCCGGAAGGAAAAGAAAATGCATCAATAAGTAGACAAATAAAACGTGTCTTTGATCATGATTCATGCACATTCTCTTGACAAAATCAGGATCTTCATCATTTTCTACGAATAAAACCAAATCAAAAATAAGGAGCTACTTAAAAAAGCCATCAAAGAAAATTGGGAAAGGAAGACTGAAAGTTGGGAGACTTGGATAACGAAAGCCGTATGATTCATTTGTCTTATGTGGCGGTAGTGAAAGAAACATCTACAAGTTCGGCCGTATATAGCCGATTTTTGTCTGCTGGTGTTGATGGGAATGGCGGCTGCAACAGAAACAGAATTTTAATGCCATTGTCAACCATACTTTTGACCTAGAAAGAGATAACAAGAAATATTGGTGAGATGTTCACAGTTTTGTCCATGTTAAGGAAACAAGATTGAAGAAACGCTTTCACAAAAGTAGTATTTATTGGCTCAAAGGTTCCAGATTCCCCTCCTTTAAATACGACTCCAACTTTTAAGAGAAAGATAACCCCTGTGTCTGCTGTCAAACTTAAAATAGTGGAGCTTTTGGCCCGTCATCTGCAGTCTTGAATATATTCATCATTTTGCAATTCTGCAAAATCAATAAAAGAACTGATTAGAATGATTAAAAATTGGATGAAATGCACAAGAGTAGGACCACATACAGATCACCCCTCTAAAGCCCCTGCCTAGGCTAGGCTGGTACGAGAATAGGTCGTGATCACTTTTAAGAAATGGCACAAAAATTGCGCCAGAATATTCACATCAAGAATTGATGTAATACTGCCCCTATTTTCTCCCCAAACATTTCCACACTCTAAATTTTTCTTTTTTCCTTTATTTGGGGGGGAAGCAGAACGGCATGATTACTGAAATGGCCTATAAAAGTCAAGGAGTCATCTTCCTCAAATTTTACTCAGACTGGATACACTACTAGTAAACAACTTCAAACATCTCAGCTTCCCTTCTATACCTAACATGGAAAAGTATACTCCTTGTTCGTCTTCCTCAATGCAATAGCGAGATTAAAGCAATCGCACACAATGTTGAAGAAAAAGTTTTAACAAATATAAACTGTGGCATAACCTCTCATAATGTTATTCACCAGTTGTTGATCAACGTAAGTATGAAACCTATTAGCCACAGCATAAAATTACCTCTTCTAGGCATAATTAATCCATATATGCAGTCGTTAATGTAATCCAATGTCCCAAACATCTATAATGGCTGCAAAACAACATGACCTCTCTGAATACAAAATGGGAACTAAACCCTTTTTATAGATACTTGAATGATAATTGCAAGAGAAGGTTCATCACAAGAAACTCTCTGAAAAACAAATCAAGATTTCCCTAGCTACAGCACTATCAGAAATCCCATTCACGCCACCCCACCCCCAACAAACACAAATAAATAAATACACACAAACAAAGCACCAGGGAGGGTTGCTGGTCAGTAGAGCTCTGGCTCCAGCAGGCTCCAACTCTCCATGCATCGGTCAAGATGCAAGCCTCCACGCCTACCTTGGTGCCTGAGTTGCTTAAGCCTAACTTTTCTCTTGTTGCTGAATGAAGTAAATAACACCAAGCAATGTCCTCTAAAATCCATAGCTAAATAGCATAAGTTTATGCATATCCCAATTGACATCAATTTTATTTAACATGGCCATGGCAATCCCCTAGCTCCACAGTCCAAAATAATACAGGTAGTTGGATTTATGGAAATACCTCTGATAAAGATGAATACACCCAAAAGTCCCTCACTTCATGAGTCCAAAACCTTCTCCAGATGCCCAGACTGATAGAAATAGCATGCAGTGAACACATTCATATGCAGGAACAGAATGCACGTAAGATGTAATTAAAGGGCTAGGGGTGCCAAACTCACGAAGGCTGTTTCAAAACCCATGGTGGCAGATGACAGCTAAAAAAGAGATCACAAACCCATAAACAGGACAGAAAAACAAAACAATAAAAATAGATGAGTGGCCAAAAACCAAATGGTTACTCTAGGACAGAGAAAGATCAAAAAGTTCCATGGGAATGAGGAGCAACATACACTGAACTTAAAACTGCAGATTTTTTCATCTGGATGCCTTCGTCTTTGGAAAGAAAACAATTTGGAAACATGTTGGCTTAAGATATTATTCAATCATCTTTGACGTACTGGTTATGCTAAGAGAGAGCAAATAAAAAGATTTATGAACAAATATTATTCCCCCAACTTTATCTGCATATTATTTTGAAAGAAAAGTTGAAATAGAATTATATGGAAAATATTGTAAAACTAAATGTCACCTGTCTCTCCTTCATTAGGAATTTAGGAAAATCTTAATGATAACAACAAAAATATATAGAATAGTTATGAGGTTCAAAAAAAAACCAAAAAAAAGGGGAATGAATGAAATTTTCAGGGTCTTGACAATAGCCCATAAAACTAGTGAAATTTTATCTTCTCATATGCCGCTGAAGGATAGATTGATTGCTTCAAAGGAGGATGGGTAATTTTTATCAAATTCAAAGTGCTGGGCATGATCTGGCAGGTGCTATCTCAAAATTAATGTATCCAATCTCATTGTACAGATGATATTAGAAGAGAGATCTGGGATTAACAGAAGAGTTCAAAGCATAATAAAATGATGGTGAAAATAATAAAATTCTGCCTTAAGGGGGAAGCAAGTTTAATCAGAACTAGAGTGTCATATATACGCACACAAGATTATGATAGAATCTCAAAAAAAATGAAGTTCAAAGTCATCCTTTATTAAGTACAGCGAGGAGGATGTATTTTTATTCTTTTCCATGTTTAGATACAGGTAGCTAGACCTCCTCCCATATTCTGTTGGAAGTCAAATTTACTAGGAGCAAAATTTCCAGAATAAATTAGTCTATAAATTGACTTTCAACCCAACACCCCTGCCCTCTGCAGCTCCCCTCCAAAACATTAAAAGGGAGTAGAAACTTCAAATGCATGTAATGAGATATTGAAAATAAGAAATGGAACCACGGAAACTTAATGATCTGATCCTCAGAAATAAATTGCAGAAATAACTAGCAGACAAACACATTTAAAAAAAAAAATGTCAACATGAACTACAAGCATCATGAAAAACATAATTGACAGGCAATTACAACATAAACTTAATGATCTGGTCTCATTCCCAAAGTTTTGACAATCTCCAAAATTCGAAGCGAAGTCACAAATATAATTCTTCAAAACATATTTGCCAGAACAAGAACTAATATAGAATTACAGCATTCCCTTAAAGAGCAAGGAATTTGACTTTGGAGTGACACAATGGAGCATCCTAAAGCAGATGTATAAAAATCATTAGACAAAGGCTCTTAGTGCAAATAACCTACAATGAAATACATTAATTAGGAAAATAGCACAATTGTTAATATCTAACATATACTCTTAGCACTTACTCGAACGAAAATATATATATGAATCAGCAGAACTAAAAGTTGTACCTGTTCCACTGTTTGGATAGGGCTCTGATCCATTTGTACCACAAAAACCATTATCAGAGTTGGTTCCACTACATGATTTGTTGCAGAACTACAAAAGAATTCCATGGCACCCAGATAGTCATACTTGTAAAACTTATAAAAAAAGAAAAAAAGAAATTAGCAGGGGAAAACAAGAAACTAGAAACAGGGTGAAACGAATGGATGAATTCAAAAGCTTGAATTAAGATTTTAGAGGGCGGAAAGGCCTAGTACGTTGACTATCCCATGATTCATGTGCGCAGAGATTGAAGGATCTCAAGTTGTAAAACAGGTTCTTGCGACTATATCTCATTACAACAAAACGAATAAAACAATAACAGAAAAGGATGCATGGCATAGGATATCTTACAAGAGAGTCTCCTCAGAAGGCATTTTGCCCCTTGCATCTGATCTCACCATTCTCCTCTCTCCCTCTCTCCCTTTTATCCATGGACAACTGCACCTCTATTAGGGAGAGCAAGAAAATGTGCCAGAGCAACACGACCTGTCATCTACTCCAACAAAATAACAATTATAATAACAATGATATCATTGATTTGCATCTAAACCTAAAGTCACATATGTTCAATAACTATGACTTTCTATGTTCAATTGGCCAATAGATGAGTGAGTAGGCGATCTCTAGCTCCTGCAAGTTCAGATAAGACACCAGAAAATGAATTTGAAATTGACAATATCTGACTAAGCCACATGGGATGCACGCTTGGGCATCCAATTATTCTTTTTGTAAAATAAATAAACACCATTTTTAAAGAAAAGCCAAGGCAAAGCAAACACATAAGACAAAACTAATTGTCATCTCGGATATCTACCAAGCCATCACCCACACTAAGTATCTTTAGTATTCAGTAAGCTGATCTAATCAGAATCATAAGAAGAGGTCTATTGAACCATCTTGAATATCTTAATTACAGATAAATTGGACATGACTAGTTCTCTCTGGCACAAAAATTTACAAAGCCTCACAGCTCTTATCAGCACCTTAATCAAGTACAGGCTAAAATGAGATTAGACATCAAAAATGAAGGAATAAGGTGTTTACTCAAAAATCAACAACCTATTTATAAAACAAAATTGCTGACACCACTCCTCAAACTACCAATTTTGGTTCTTCCACCACATGACCTTGAGGTGTGCTAAACTCCAAGCTTCTAGCAACTTCAAAAAAGTGTGCAACAGCTTCTTCTGGTGTACCAACAAGAACACCATGCCCAAGATTAAGAATGTGTCCACTCGGCCCAGCACATCTCACAACTCTGAGAAAGGTAAAACAAATAAATGAAATCCGATTAAGAATTTGGAAACTCAACTTAAGTCTTAGTTAAGCGCAACAAAATGCAAGATCCATGAGCCAATGCAATTAATGAAAATAAAACAGTGGTCCTATTTTAGCCAATGTTTTCTCTCATATCATCTATCAATCTGAGCTATACGATCATAGTGCCTTGACAGATATCTCAAACATGGTTTGGAAGTCATAGAACACCTTGTTCTTGAGTTAAAAATCATCAATTGCATTGTTCTTGAGACACTCATATGCAACCATTGGTAAAGAAGCTATTCAAGTAATCCACAATTACAAATCCAATTAAATGTCAGGATGTATATCAAATAAAGGAAAACTTTCAATAAACTGAATTCAAGGAACAATGAATTCACTCAAGACCAGTTTCCATGGACTGTATTCCAAGACTCTGTCCAAAGTAATTGGGTAGTCATAGAGGTTCACTCAGTATGACTTTAGGCTAGAGACAACAAAGAAGCAAGCCTTGGCTCACAAACACTGAAACTCCAAGTATGGGCAACAATGGTGAAAAATGAATTGGAGAGAATGAGTATCAGATATTTTTTAAAACTCATGTCAAAAACCTTTGAATTTCATCAGTCAATGCAGGAAGAGTTGAAAATAAGTAAGCCGGGTCCACATTTCCCTGTACACTGATCCCACTCCCCAAACGCTTCCTTCCATCTGCCATGTCAACAGTCCAGTCGAGCCCAATCACATCGACTCCAGTTCCCTTCATACGCTCAAGAAGGCCACCATTTCCATTAATGTAAAGAACCAGTGGGGTTTCAGGGCATTTGTTCCTCACTGTACTGACTATCTGCAATTTCAGAAAGGCTACCTAGTCAAAAGACCCAAAACAATACAGAAAATATTGCTATAGCATATCCAATAATTTTATATATGCATAAAGCATATAAATATAACACGTATAGCAATTTTTCAGTCAAAACCAGAAAGGCCATGCAGTAAGATTGCTGCACTATATTTCGTCAATTTGACAAGCCATGTTGTCCTATTTAGAGTTGATGCGAGGGATAAAACAGAGCAATATGAGTCATAACTAGTTTGATCAAACGTAAGAAATAATCTCAACCAAATTCATAGAATAAGATCCTACTGACCTCTTCAATATATGGCTTTGACCAACGATCCCACATATCAGGGGGAGCTGTCCACCCCATGAGTCAAATATTTGTATGCAATGAGCCCCAGACTCCACTTGAAAAACAATGTAGTCAGATATCGCCTTTGTCAGGTGCGAGAGGAGAGCCCTTAACACTTGCGGTGCTGTATGGCACATGCTCTTTATGTTTGTATATGTACGCGTTGTACCCCCTTCCACTATATATGTAGCTATTGTCCAAGGTGCTCCTACAAAACCCAGAACTGCAGCACGCCCCTCAACCTACATAGGACATAAATAGATTGACTTAGAGAAGATATGATCTATTTTGTTCCATAAGTAAAAAGTAACACTAAGCTGAGATAGAGATTTTTTACTTGATACGTATTTCAAAGGAAAGAATTACCTCACGGCGCAATATCCTAAGTGAGTCTCCCACGAACTGAAGTTTCTCTAATTCAATCGGATGCAACGCCTTCAAACCTTCTTCAGAACGAATTGGAGATTGAATGACAGGACCCCTCACTTCTTCTATGTCAAATGGCACACCAAATGCAGGTAGAGGTGTAAGTATGTCGGAGAAAATAATAACACCATCAGGATGAAAAGCTTCCCAAGGTTGCAAAGAAATTTCCACAATGAGATCAGTCGTCTCTGACCTCTCTCTGAAGGATGGATATTTCTCAGCAAGCTTTCTGTAAACAGCCATATATCTTCCTGCTTGACGCATCATCCATGCTGGAGGCCTACTTACTGGCTCCCCTTTCGCAGCCTTTACCAAGAGTGGATCTGAATGGAATATGAATCAAATAAAAACAATAATTTTTAGGTTAAGAATATATGGAGCACTTAAATATAAGCATTTGTTGTTAACAATTTCCCGTTGTAGTTTAAGCATTTCCTATAATTATCACTACACGAGGCTTAATTTTTAAAATAAATTCCACATTAGAAATGCATTGATTTTTAATTCAGATTTGCTTTAAGTAACCTAACCAAAATTGTCATGAAATGGATTAAAAAAAAAAACCAGAAATTTCCACTTAAAATTCAACTGGAATGAGCTGATTTGAGTTAATCCGCAGTGTATTTAAGAGCTTGCAGATTCACAAAATGCGAAATTGGAAGCAGAAACGATATAATAAAATACCAGAAGAAGAAGAGGATGAGCAGGTGACGTGAAATCTTCGGTAAGAGGATTTAGATTTTGTAGAGTGATTAAACCCTATCTGTACGGGCATGATTGAAGAGGTTCTCCATGCTAAGCAACTACACACACTGCAGCAATTAACGAAATCAGCTGAATTGGAGAAAGCTTAAGAAGTAGAATACTTTGAAATTCAAACAAAGAGAACGAAAAAGAGAAAGAAACTGGAAAACCTGGAGATAAAGAAATGAATAATGTGAGTAAAATTGATTGAATGAAGAAGATAACTGCTTTTTACCTGGTAAGAGAAGAAGAGTTCATTTCGTTTTTGAACCAGGAGATTTTCAGACAGTTCCGTTATCTGTATTTTTTTTTTTTTTTTTCCTGACGTTTTCTTGAGACGCAGGAATTGTCTAGGTGGTTGGTTTGACGATTGATTTGCTTTCAAGTAAGCTCAATCAATGGCTGTGATTGTGATTAGGAGGGAAAAAAAAACAAAAAAGCCCTGATCCTGTGGTCCTAGCAAATTATTAATCTTAGTCTTAATTTGATTTAATTCATCTAATTAAATTATGAAAATTTTGTTAGTCACAGACTAACTTCCCAATATAAAAAAGCTGCCCAACAATGGTGGGCTTTATCGTCCAGCCCAAGTGTACCATCCAACAAAGGCACGAGCGTGGCTTTAATGCTTTGCTTTGTACAAGTTCTAAAGCAGTATATGTTTACTACTTCTACTCAATTTTATCCAATTGCGTAAGGCAGTTGCCTGAAAATAATAACCATAAAATTTTGGACAAAATTTCATGTCGTCCAAGACAACAGGAGTTCCTCCCACCTAATACCAAAATGTTCAGAAATATCAAGACTTCCTGTCATTTATTGGGTTGGAAGAACTCCTGCAGAAAAATTGCGGGAAATCATAATATTGAAATTAAAATGACTGTAATAGACTTGGAAACTCTTGAGAGGAAATTACCTTAAAATTTCAAAGTAAAAACTAAATTTCCTACTCTAATATACAATTAAAAAACAAAATTAAACTAAAACTAAAAAAATTAAACAATTAAAATATCAAAAATAGCATGATGCAATATGAAAGAAAATCTAAAAATTATGAACTTCAAAATTTTATAACACAAACTTATTGTAAAATGAACTAAGAATATTCACAAGTGAACACTCCAAACATAACAGGACTTAAAGAAACTAAGACTGGTGATTGTTGCAAGCACAAATGGAGGATTCAAAAAGTACTATTAGCTTACATATTATTGCCTACTGGATTACTACTTACAATCTATTGTTTACAAATTACTATCTAACGGGTTTTAGAGATGAAATTTATGAAAGTGCTTATTGAATTATTTGCAATGGCTTATTGTACTATAAAAGCATAAATTATACATATTTTAATTATTCGGACATTTGTTGTCAAAAACGAATAAAAAATACATAAATTAAATTTTTGATAATCATTTTAGCACGATAGGCATATTTCGTCTAAGATTTCGAGTTTATATGACGTGACACGAAATGTAAGATGCTACTAAGAATAATAGTTCACATAGAATTACACATGATCAAAAATTAAAATTTCTAATTTAACAGACGATATATTGCCCACTAATCCTATCTGAATTTCCTCACTATACAAATCCAAATCAATTCATAAAAATTCCTAATCTTCTTCTCTTCTTTGTCCAATGAACAAGAACCCATCCCTCTCCCCTCATGATTCTTCAAGCAGTACTCATTCCTCTCTCCCACGAATCTTCAACCAGTACCCATATCCATCATTACTAGATTCCATCAAGAACTCTAGCTATCAAATTGTTTATCTTTGCAGAAATCCCTTTGACACTTTCATCTCCTTGTGGCATTTCGTCTCCCAAGCAAGACTTGGAAGTCTTGGACCATTATCTTTGGAGGATTCTTTTGATAAGTTTCAATGGAATTGGAGGATTTTGCCCTTTTTTTTTCATGTTTTAAGGTTTTGGACAAAGAGCTTAGAAAGACCAGAGAAGTTGTTGTTTCTCAAGTTTGAGGGCATGAAAGAAGACATCAATTCGCAGATAAAAAGGCTAGTTGAGTTATTGGGCTGTCCTTTTTCCGTGGAGAAAGAGAGAGATGTGGCTATAGAAGGAATATCAAAGTTTTGTAGCTTTAGCAATTTGAAGAACAAAAAGGCCAACAAGACTGGTAAATCCATCCCAGGCATTGAGAATAATACGTTATTCAGAAGAGATGAAGTAGGGAATTGGGTCAATTTTCTTACTCCTATGATGGTGCATCGTTTAAACAAAATCATGGAACAAAAGTTGGCTGGTTCTGGTTTGTAGTTCAAGACCTGTTTCTAGAAACTAGAATGTATTGTACTATATGTTTCGTGTTTGGATGTGTTTGAGGGGGTGGGATCGGCCGGAGACAATGGTGCTTTAGATATGACAAAACAATAATTATTGTTCTCTTAAAATTGCACTGAAATAAAACATCCATTTACGTCTCCTCATAGCACAATGAATAATTGTCAATTGAAATTCTAATATGATAGTGTCTTAAGTCAAGGCTTGCCAAAAAAAAATTAATATGATTATATATTTGTAACAAGTTATTTTATAAAATTTACAAACACATGTTACTCTACTAATATTAGTATTATCACATAATAAATACTAATGTTGTCCTTTCTTAGCTTCTTAACACCTCTCATGGAAGACACTCAAGTGACTAAAAACAACACTTTTTAGAAACTGAAGAAAGTGATGAATGCAATAATCTACTGTCATCCCTTCCCAAAAATCCACATGGGTATCTAGTTTTTGTGTGTATTTATACCAAGGCATTTGGTGTTCTAAGGAGCTTCCTGTTGTAATTTCATTTCAGAAGAACTTCTTGGCACACAAAACTGATACTATAGTGGTCACCGTGCCTAAATCAAGTACTGAAGTACATCATGGTTGAAAAGCCTTAGCTTTTCCTTGGAAGCCAATTTAGCATGCCAATGATGATACAATTATACAAACAACACCAAGAGAAGTGGCTGATATACCGAGAAGGAGCTCACTCCAGAAGGAAATGGGGATATTTTGTGGAAAATGCCAGAGAACGCATTTACAGCTAGCTTGATTTGAGATGCGAACTAAGCTGACTTGAACCCTTACACCATGTCTACCTGAACTTTGATACAGGCAACTTCCAGCAAAATCAAACGTGAGTCCATTACTCTTAGCAACTTTTGAGGCCATCGATCTCGATGACTACTTATGAATTAAATACATATGGATCATCTACACCAGCTGTAATCGATTTCTATTTCAAGAATATCATTCTTAATCTAGGGCACAAAACCTCACTTAACCAATGAGCAATTAGGCTAATGATAGGGAATCAAGCCAGCAATGCATGACCACTTCAAGTCGTATATTTTTGGGATACTTTTGGGGTTGTTCTGTTTCAACTTTGTAGAAGCATCTCCTTCCTTGCTAGACTGTGAACCTATATTAGACCTCATTTCATTTTTCAGATAGATAAGTAAGGATATGGATGGGAGAAACCTGTTACCTTTGCCACTAACGAACTTAGTGAAATTTTCTTATCTTATTAAAATGTGATCACCAAGGCATGCCCCACTAGAGGGATACAAACCCAAATCCGAATCATCATCAGCATTTTTTTGCTGAAGTAGAAGCTGTACATGTTCAGATCCTTTATCTAGAAGATGATTTTCTAGCACAAGAGTATCTTCAACTTAAGACTCGTCTAATTAATGAAGATGCTCATCACCACGGGCACTAAAAGATAACCCTACATCTAGAAAGGCATCCTCCATAATTGGATCATCTAAATCACAGTGAAAATCAATCTCATCAACTTCGTCACTTGGGCAACCAAAGGCATCTTCTGAGGCTGCCACCTGTGCTTGCTTAACATGCAGTGCAGCTTCAAGAATTGATTGCTTTGCCAAATTAAGCATATGAAGATGAACCAGTCATCATGAATTTATGAATAACCAGTGCTTCAGATGTAGAAATATATAGTTCAATTGAATCACTGATACCAGAATCTTTGATGTGTCTCGCATTGCATGTTTCCTCATACTAACATCCATTGTCCTCGTAGTTGGTAGCAGCTGGTGTACCAACGTTCTTCGCTATCGTCGAAATGGAACTTAGAGGCGAATAATACATCCTACAACTAACATTTTAGCCTATTTTCCTTTTGAACAGCCTCCAAATATCGTTATTGGTGGGAGATTATGAATCAGCAATCTCCATGGGTATTCCGACAGAAGTTAAGGGTGAAATTACTCCACCTGCATCATGATTCATTTTCAATTGACATGCCTCGCCTGGGCCACCCGAAGTTTCAACTTGTTTCAAAGGCAAGGCATTACTAGAATCATCCAATCTTTGAGTCCTATGTAAAAGCTAGCTTTGGCCATACTTGTTCGTCGGGCAGAGAAGGGAATAAGTTTAGGGATTTGGATTTGTTTGTTGAGAAGAGAAGAGAAGTAAAATAGGAATTTGACTTTTTATCAATTGATTTAGGTTTGTATTGTGAGAATTAGTTTTAGGAATTGGTTTTGCATTAGTAGGCGGCATGTTGTTTGTTCAATTGAAAATTTTAATTTTAGCCACATGTCATCTTATGTGGACTGTTATCCTTTGTGGTATCTACATGTTATGCCACGTCTTACAAACTCATAATCTTAAATGAAATATGTCTTCCATACTAAAATGATTATCATAAGCTTAATTCATGTATTTTTTATTCACTTTAAAAAAAACATGCTAAAATAATTAAAATATGTATAGTTCGTGTTTTTATAGTATAATAAACTATTTGCCGTTTGCAAGAGTTTGCGTATATATTGTATTATTGTGTGTTTTATCCTATGCTATAGTTGATATTTATAGTTCATTTGCTCCTTCATGATTTGCATTAATGGACTCTCTTTCTTACACATGTTGTAGTACTTCATGTTTTTCTTTCTCTATGCTACAATTCTTGCCTTCATGTGCATTTTGTTGAGAGTTTCTCTTTTGTATGTTTCTCTTTAGTTTGTGGAAGGAGTTCCAATAGCTTTGCCTAAGTTGGTTTATTAGACCACAACTCAAATTGCCAAAAGAAAAATGTTGCTACCTAACAATTAGGGGATTTCTAAAAATTTTATGGAAAAGAGAACAAAATTAAGAAAAAAAGTTTTAAAATCGTCACCTAGTATTAAAAGTTAAAAGTAATTAAGAATTTGAAAAGGATACTAGATTCGGATATTACGGTTAAGAAGTTGCTTATACCGTTAGAAAAATAATAATCACCCAAATATAACTTTTTTTGGAAAAAAAAGTACCAATTTTAGTCTAATCCTATTAATATCTCTTAAAAATATATTTTTGCCAAATTATTTTCGTAAGTCTATTTTCAAGTTTATTTATCATTTATTTCAATTTTTTTTTTTTTTGTTTATGGTACCGTATTAAATTAATATCGGACCCTAAGATTGGAAGTCTCGTCAATTTAGCATCGAATCCAATTATATCCCGACATGATCGACATGTCGAGGACCGACGTAATTAGCTAAACATGTTTAAACTAATTTGTCTTTATCTTAGCTAATTCTCTTCCTTATATATATATATATCATTCTATTATTTTGATTATTAATGTGAATTTGTTTTAGAATTTAATTATTAAGTCCAATGTCCCCTTTTATTTTAATCTGAAATTTTTAAGGTTAGTTCACATATCTAGCTTTAGCTAAAGTTTTAAATTTTGTAATTTGTGGAGTTCATTTAGTATTATTTTTGAAATTTATTTATTATTCTATCACTATTTTAATTATTTGCTTTTTGTGTTGGGGGTTGGGGGGAGGAAGCGTTGTGTTACAATTTAATAATTTGATCCAATGTTTAATTACATTTAAATATGATATATTAAAGGGTTGTGAATGTCTATACTAATAGATTGTTTGTAGTTTTTGTTGAAGTTAGATTTTATTCAATATATATTTCATCATTTTTTTATGATCGGCTTATAATTTTACTTATTAATTATTTAAAACTTATAATTTTACTTATTAATTATTTAAAACTTTTAAAATTATTTAACAAGATGCACCTTGTCTATATTGTGATGACATGATGAAGATTACAACCTGTTTTTCATTTCCTTACTTTTCCTTGTTTCTTTTTGCTAAAAATTTCAATAAAATATAAGTTGTCATGAGACAAGTCGTTTCATGCATTGTCTAAGCCTAGCTTATCCCGACAAGCTTGGCATTATTTTGGCTTACCGAAAAACCACGAGCTTATCGAACTTAATTAAGTGTTCCAAAATTTTCCTATTTTCCGATTATAGGAACCTCCTTATCTCGGCAAGCTTGGGCTTTATTTTGGCTTATTATAAAATCTCGGTTAGTCGATCTTAATTTAAGAACAGTTCAAATTTTTTCAGCTTATTTCTTATTTTGAACTTTTACTATTCCGAATAGTAAGTCCTAAATTCCAATTTGGTACGGGCACATGCATGTGTATAAATTATAAAAGTCTTTAGAATTTCGGTTATTGATACACCTTATCTATTGAGAAAGTATTTGATAACTAGTTAGTTAGTAGTTAATGGTTAGTTAGTTAATTTAATTTAGTTGGTTGTGTTAGTTAAGTCATGAAAGTTGAGTTGTAGAGGATAAAACCTCACTCTATATATACCAATTGTAACACTAAATTAGATAATGAGATACGTAAACACTTTTTGCTTCTCTTATTCTTATTCTTAACATGGGATCGAGCATTTCTTTTTCTATTTGGATTCCAGAAAAAAAAATTTCCTTCTTTGACTAAATCTTGAGTTTCTTTCTCAAGATTCTTAAGTTTCTTCTCAAATTTTCTTATTCGCATTGCATATTGTCTATTTTTTCTTTCGGATCTCATCTTAAGAAATCTTGATTTCAACTCTATGATTGACACTTTTTTTTTTCAAAAAGTTCTTAAAATCATGAAAAATCAAGTCGAAAACCCCAATTTCACACGCTCTACCACTTTGCATAGAGATTTCAATGATTTTCTATTTCTACATTCTTTTGACACACCAAATTTCATTCTTGTTACTTCTTTACTCTAAGGCGAAGACAATTACAGTTCATGGAGTAAGGCAATGATGATTTCTTTGGAAGCAAAAAACAAGGATGGCTTTATCAATGAAAGGTGTTCAAGATCGAGTTCGACTCACCTAACTTTGCTCAATGGAAGAAATGTAATCCACTAGTCCACGTTTGGTCGCTCAATTCTATTTCTCGCTCAATTATTCAATAGCTTAGTTTATTATCAATATGCTGAAAATGTATGGAAAGATCTCAAATAAAGGTTTGATAAGCAATATGAAGTAAAGATTTTTTTCTTGTATAAGGAAATCAATTCATTAGTTCAAGGTTTAGATAATGTGGTAGCATATTACTCGAAGTTAAGGCATTTTTGGGATTAGCTTGACTCCTTGATTCCTCTACTTGCTTGTGCTTGCCCACATTGTCATAATGAGGTTTCCCAACCTTTTGTTATATACCCATAGCGAGTATAAAGTGATGCGATCCTTGATGGGCTTAAATGATAATTTTTACTCGGTGAGGTCTCGGATTTTATTGATGTAGCCTATGCTAACTCATTCCTAAGCATATTCTATGGTTTCTAATGAAGAATCATAAAAAGGTATCAATACAAATCTAAGTGTTCTCACTCGTTTTGTACTCTACCGAAATCGGTATCCAATGAAGCAATTTGTCGATAAAACCAATTAGTCACAAAACGAGAAAAGAAACTATTTGTGATTATTGTCATATACTTGGACATCCGAAGGAGACTTGCTATAAACTTCATGGATATCCACATCATTCTTGAAAACCATTTGAGAATAATAGAGGACGTAGAAGTGGTTTTATTGGTGGTGGAGATCAATAAAAGACCTTTAATGCTCATAATGTGAGTTATCTAGAAAATGCTAATGCACATACATGAGCTATGATGTATGACGATCATATCAATAGTTCTTCAAGAACTTCATGCAGGCGGTGTAGAGCGGCATTCTATGAGCAACTCTACAAGCTGTGGGATACCCTCCAATCTTCTCTCCTCATCAATATCGGCGGATACTTGATTTATCGTCAAAAGATTTAGGGAAGAATATTAAGCAAATGACACCTACTACAAACATGGCGAGTACATATTTTTATAATTTACTTAATGTGAAATGTGAAAATGATGATGTATAGATAGTAGACACAAGGGCTAATGTTCATATGATTGGTAGGCTTAATTGCTTGGATAATCATACAAAACTAGTATATAATCATATTGTCGGATTACCTAATGGCACTATGACTATTGGCACTCATTTAGGCTCGCCATTTTTCAAAAATTTATTGTTTGAAATGTATTGTATTTACCAAGCATTCAAGTTCAATCTGTTTTCGGTAGCCAAATTCATTACTAACAACAATTGTTTGGCATGTTTTTACCTTGACCTTTGTCTATTTCGGGACCTTTGAACTAGAAGGACAAAAGGGATTGGTAAAGTCATAACGACCTCTACCATATCTTGCCAGCTACTTTTTCATCTTCAACCTCTTCAAACCCTTCTAAGAATAGTTTTCATCCTAGTCATTTTGAAACATACTTTAATTTGAATTATGTGTTTAGTAACACATTTTCGAGTCAATCTATGTTTCTTTGTAAAGCTACTACATAATAAGACAAGTTATCCTTCTAATATAGCTCTTTGGCACAAAAGATATGGTCATGTTCTATTTCACATCTCAAATTAATTCATGCCATTACAATACCTTCGATCATGATTTTTTTTTGTGATTTTTGCCCACTTGCCAAACATGCCACATTGCCTTTTTCCCGTAGTACTTCGTTACAAAGTTCCCATTTTAACTCATACATATGGATATATGGGGTCCATATAAACACCTTACCTAGAGTAACGAAAGGATTTTTCTATCAATTGTTAATGATTTTTTCGAAGTAATTGGACTTTTCTTTTACAACATAAATCTTAAGTCCTCCAATTACTTTAATTTTTTTTTTTTTTGTCCTTATTCATGCTCAAATTTCT